ATTATTATATATCCACAATTAGTATATCTACTATCCACTTGTGACAAATTTCTAAATATAAAAAATCTATGATAGTAAAAGATAAACAATTTGAAAATAAATAAGCCTTTTAGTTGCTAGTTCGATTCTTACTCATGATTTTTGCATTTTTCACAAAATGCACTGTGACACGTTTTATTATGTATTATATTTAAAATTTTTATACATTTATCTTTTAATGCCTCAAATTCCATTTTATTTATACTTATTATTGAAAGATTTTTGTCTTAGCTTAGTGGCTATTGATTCACCGGGTAAGCCTGTTTTCTTCTAATCCATTTTGTCTATTTTCCGTCATTCTGGGCATCGTGATCGAATCTAGTATTTTCATGTAATTATATATTACTATCATCTTTTGTCGTCGATCTCTAGGTCTTGTTCCCTCGATTTCAATCAGATGGCATCTACTCATCCAATCATTCCTTGCCTTAGACATTTGTAACGAATATATGATTATGGAGCAAGTTTGATCTGATGCTCTTCCTAACATCAATCTCTTTGTTGACTTTTACAACCCATCGAAGATACGATTATCTTATTCTATCTCAGATCAGGGGGAACCCTTTAACCTCAATTAGCCATCTTAAAATGTTGCCATTCCCCTACCACGTTGAGACTGAAGGCAGGATTTTAGATGACCTTATCAATTATTTAAAATTTATGATCTAACCACCTAATTTTTTTTATAACCAATGCTATTAATTATGGTCATTTATTGATATTCAAGAAGCTATTTTACCCGATTGCTTATCACAATTAAAATATATTTGAAAAATAAGAAAAGTTAGAGGTGGGAAATATTTTTTATTCATTATTTTCATTTCATATTTTGTAAAATAGAATAAAATAGATAAATAAAACTTGAAATTATCCAACTTATTGCTTATTATTTAAATTTAATCAGGGTTGGCATATCGGTCAATTGATCGAAGGAGTATTTGACCGGTCAAATACTCTAAAATATTATTGGCGATTAAATATTTTAATATAATTAACTAGTAATTATAGTGCGCACATATTGAGCGTTTCAAACGCTGCGTTGCAAGCGTAAATGCATTTCAAATAGCCTTGTTCAAATTGTTAAAATTACCGTTTGGCGTTAGCAACCATTTTAAAAAACCCAAATAGGTTTGCTTTTTCTATACTTTTTTTATTCTTCGTTTTGTAATATTATATAAAATGTAATATAAATAACCTACTTATATCCTAAAAAGGAATATTTAGAAATTAAAGAAATAAGAACGCATACGATAATAATTTTCAAAGATAAATCCTTTTTTGAACTTATATAAAATTTTGAATCGACGGATATTAATAAAAAGACAACCTCCATTTAAACAAGGGACGCGTTACGTTTTTTAATTTAAAAATTACGGCAAAACGTAAACGCTCAATTTGTGCGCACTATTAAAAGGATATTTATCAATCTTATTAGGTTACAATTTATTTAAAAATATATTTGTATCGAAGGAATCGTTTTAATGGTAATTTTATATTAAAATTTAAAAAATTTTACAATATAAAAACAATATAATTTTTATTACTAAAAAAAATAGATATAAGAAAGCTGTCATGATTAATTTTTTAATAAATTTAAATTTTATTTAATATTTAGCCAAGTATAAATTATATTAATTCATTAATTTTACTTCCACTTGCTACATTTGAATTTGTAATTTTCTTTTTAGTTGTTCTGGTCAGATTTCAAAATAATTTATTCAATTTTGGTAAAAAGTTATATATATTATATTTTATATAATATTAAGCAAATTATTGAAATAATTGGTCGATAATTATAAAATAATTTTGATTAACTTTACAATAATCAAAATCTTTTATAGTTAAATTTTAATATATTAGGGATTATGGTCTAACCAAAGCATTTGAAAAAATTTTTCAAGAAGTATGCGATAGTAAATCAGTTAAAGCGGTATGCAAGTTTTGCAAGATGTCCTATATTACCCACATTGATAGAATGGTCAAGCATTTATTAAACAGCTCTACTATGTGCCCTGTCATAATTAAGGAAAAATTTTATTCAAATTCCAAATTATCAACCTCGACAAAAAATCACACACATGTAATTTGTAATACTTTTAGTTCTAATGAAGAATTGGGTGAAATTAGTGAGAATAATTATCAAATTGATTTTTATCTTGTGACTCAGGAGAATTTGATTTTATTATCTCTGATCAATCTACAAGCAAGGCAATTAAATTTATATCTCAATCTTATATAACCAGTTTCATAGTTAGAATGAATACCAAAGAAAAAAATGAGCTCGATCAATTGTTTGCAAAGGCTGTATATGCGAGCAATTTACCTTTCAACAACACTGAAAATCCCTACATCCAAGAATATTTTAAAAAAAGAAGTTCTATTTACACTTTACCCAGGCAAAGGCAGCTGTCTATATATCTTCTAGACAAAGCATCAGGAGATATGGAGGTGAGAGTTGCAGATGTAATAGATAAAGCTCTTCACTTAGCAGTTGTACCAAATGGCTGGGACAACATCAGAAACTAGAGTATTATAAATTATATGGTGATGACGCCTGTTCCAGCTATAAATTTTTAAATACTGAGGAAAATCGCCTTACGGCAGATTATCCCAGGAATTTTAAAATGTAATTCATGAATTGAATCGGTAAAAGTATATTAATTAGTTACTGATAATACCGCTAACAGCCTGGAGAATTCTAAAATCTGAATCTATTTTAATCCTATAAAATGTTATAATACATACAATGTTATGGTTGTGCAGCGCATACATTGCAGTTATTCTTTCACGATTGAACGACTTCAGTTACCATATTTCGATAATTAAAAATGTTAAATTTTTCAAGAATAAACACATTTCCCGTAAGAATCAACATACCATTTACATTAAGCACAATAATCCGAACAAGATAGGCATCGTTAATAAAATGTATGGAGCGAATACAAATATGTAACTCTAAAAGCATCAGTTGTTGAAGAAGCTGTATGTGATATTTGTCCTATAGAAATTACAAATAATATATTAAATGAAGAAATATTTTCGACGAAAAATTTAAATTTTTTAGATATACTCAACATTTTAGCTACTTTATTGTTGAAAGTGCAAGGGGATAAATGTACTTTAGCTCACGTAAACGGATGCTTAATTTGGAAAAACCCGGGTTTTTGGGAAAAAAATTTGAACCCGAACCGATTATAAAATTTTCAAAACCCCGAATCGAATCAGGGAATTTTATTTGAACCCGGGTTCAGTGTATTGTTTAAATTAATATAATATTTGTATAATTGTAAATACAAATATTAATAATTTACTTGACATTTTATAATATTTTCAAATTTCCAATTAAGTGAAGTGTTAATAAATTTTAAACAACTTAATTCATTTACTCTATTTTTAAATTTTTTAAAATTTATTCTTAAAGATTCCTATTGGATTGTTAATAAATTTTAAACAATTAAATTCATTTACACCATTTATTTTTTATTTTTAACTTATTCTCAAAGATTATTAATTAGAGGAAAATGAAAGTGAACAAGTCAAATTAAAAATTATTATATTGGATATTGTTAATTTAAAGAAATACGTCTAAATAAAATTTTTTAAATGTATACATGACTATGCTTTGTATTTTTAACTATATTTTGCCTATAAATAAAATAAAAAATTTATTTTTTATACCAAATTTATGTCTAGTTTTTTAATTATGATTTAAATATAGAATATTGTTTTTTTATGAATTCAAAAGTCTTAAACCCGAGCTGAACCCGGGATCAAAAATATTTCCCTGAACCGAACCCTAACCGAACTCACTTATTTTTTTTAACCTTAAACCGAACCCGGGCAAAAAAAATTTCTGGTTCGCATCCCTGGCACATAAAACAATCATGCCATGATTCTATATTTTCTCCATCTGAAGAAAATAAAATTAAAGTTATGTTTGAAAAGAGAAAAAATAATCTAAATTCATGTCATCACAATGCTTCTTATTTATTGGACCCCCAATATCAAGGGAACATCTTACTAGTACTGAATTTTATGAAATATGTGATATAATATAATAATTAGGTATTTTACATGGTCGTGATAATCAAAATGTTTTAAGTTATATAATAAGTTTCTGAAGTAAAAATAGTCAAAATATGTGAAATAAGAAACAATCAGATTTCGTCCTCAAGTTGGTCGAATGCTTTTTGCCCACCTTGTCCATTAAGAGAAGTAGCTAATATTTTACTAACATTTCCTAGTTCAACTTCTTCCAGAAAGATATTGGTCAGTTTGGGGAAATATTCATACTAAAAACAGAAATTGATTGAAGACTTTTACAGCAGGAAAATTGGTAAGAGTATATCATTACTTAAGATTGATTAAAAATAGTAAAGAAAATAATGATATTGAGTATGAATCGGAACAAGACTCATCCGCGGAGGACGAAATAACTGGAATGAATTAAAAAAATATTATGGAATTTAATATTACATAGATTCATTATAATATTTTATATATACAAAATTAAGTTAATTGGCGTAAAAAAACATATTTGAATTTGACCGGTCAAGTATCTGTCAATTGACCGAATCGTATTTGACCGGTCAAATGCACAACCCTGAATTTAATGCATAACATTAAAATAGAGAATAAAATAATTATTTTAAGTTAGATTTTTTCCTTATATGCTTTTGAGATTCAGGTCTCAACAAACTGGGTCTGGTCCTAGATTTAAAAAAATTGTCACTTGACCACGGGTCGGCTTGGGCTTAAAAAAAGAATTTCCATATCTCTATCTATAAGCGAAATAAAAATTAATTTTATTATTCCTATATTGTTTTTGAATATTCATTTTGGTCTAATAGGAACTCTTTTAAAGACTATAAAAATGGTATTTGACTTAATAATGTACGAATTAAAACTTTAAAATGAGACGTACATATATCTATTATCTCTGTCTTGCATTTTTTATAAAGGTTGCAAGAGTTGAACGAAGAGGACTCGTTAAAAGAAAACAAAACTGAAGTAGAAAGGGAGGTTGGAAGAATTCCAAGGAGCATAGAATGTTTGTTATATAGGGATTTGATAGATATCTGCCTGCCTGGTGATCAAATTACATTAAGCGGCATCGTTAAAGCTTCTCAATCTGATGGTAAAAAATATTCCTTATAAATATATAATTTAACATTTGTTGTTGTATAAAGCCGATGATTGAATTAAATAACTTTTATGCGGGTTTAGTTGTATTGGTTTACTTGTATAATGCAGGTTTTGTATATCCCAGAATAAACCCTGTCTAATTAATGCTTTATAGTCTATGTAATATATTTATTTAAAAGCCGGTCTGGCTCATGAAGATCTTTGATCTGGAATGATTAAACATAATAGGTTAGGTTCACTGAATAATCCATTAAGTTGTCAATTATAGCTTATAAGTATAATAAAAATAAAAATGGGAGAGGTTAAAATGATAGCTTTATAATGAATGGACCTAACAAACATAAGATTTTTTTTCTAGCGCCTTTATTAATTTTTATTATGTTTAATAGCATGTCTATTTTTTATAACATATAAAAATAATGAGAATAGATAGCATAATAAAAATTTTCAAATATTATTTGAAATAATGGTTTGAATATATTTATTTTAACCTTTGTAATAAAAGGGAAAAAGGAAAAGTGTATGTTTTCCCTGTACATCGAGGCCAATTCCATCCGTAATCTCAATTGGAATGAAGAGAATGATATCTTTCAACAGACTCTTAGTATTATCAATTTATATTAATAACTAAACATGTTGTTATATATTCATTAACTATTTTTGTTTATTCATTAACTATTTTTGTTTATTCATTTAATTATGTTGCATTTGCATAATATGAAGCTAGCAATTACGCTTATTTGAACGTAATTGACTAGACTAACTGATTATCTAGTATGTGAATTTATTAATTATAAAATCTTTCACAAAACACTATGCGTTTAGCTAGTAGCTTAAAGCCACATAAAATACTAAGAATATATTTACTTAATTTTTTACATATTTGATATTAATTTAAAGATATAACATCTTTATTTTCAAATATAATAATCATATGAAAGTAAAATTTAAAAAAAAAACAATTTTTGTAAGAATTGTATTTGTTGTTTTTTATTTTATGAACTAATTTTTCAAAATCGAATTTATCAATCAGCGGAATAAAATTTCCATTAAGTTTCTACACATTGAGCCTTCCATGGGTATGGTTGGGCAATTTTTTAAAAAATACGAAAAAGAGTATTTCAACAAGATTAAAATATTTTAAAGAAATGTAAATTTTTGAAGAAAGTATTTAAATACAAATAATTTGACAAATACTTTTTGAAATAGATTTATCTGCATAGCTATACTTAGCATTTCCATGTTTAATAAATAAACTAAAAAAATATGTAATATGTAAAAAAAAAACATTTTAAATAAAATATGTTTAAAAAACATTATCTAATAAGCATGTACCCATATTATGATCAAATTTGACTGACATACTTCTAATCCGATTTTTTATAGAATATAGAAACTTTCGGGAATTATGCTACCGATTATTTTTATAAATTTTAGGAGAGATCCCCCAAATTTCCAATAGTGGTAATTAACGGGATAAAATTATGATTTGATGATGAGTATTTAAATATTTTATTAGATTCTGTACTTTCTGTAAAATACTTGCTATCATTTGTGGTTGCAAGTATCTATTAATGAGTAGTCCCAAACAACGGACCGACTCAATTTCCAAGGGATGTTATCAGAACGTTTATTGTTCCCTAACTTCATCTCCGTTGTTTCATAATGAAGGTATTAAAGCCTGGCGACTTAGGTTAATTGTAATTTTGTGTCTAATTGGCCTTCATTTAACGTATTTAATTATGGAGATGATGATGTCCGTTAGATGCTACATTCATCGGACTTAATTTTTCATTAGATATAGTTAAAACAAAACAAAAAAAGTAAATATATTTAACAAAAGACTAATAAAAATTATAAACGAAGGAACATAGGCCACATGGAGTCATGAATTGATGTAAATTTGACCGGTAAATTTTCTAAGCCAATGTTCTGGCGAATATAAAAATATTCTTTTGATTCGCACGTATAATTATTTTTACTATCTCCTCTAGGAAATAAAGTGCCTCATGACTAGTTTCTGAGGGTTGATGTGACAACAGTAACGAATTTAATATTGTTTAACTCGAAATATTTTTTTTATTTCCTCCACTAAAAAAGAGTTTTCATATGTGTTTGAGTTAGCAAATATGTCTACACAAGTGTAATCCCAAGCAGAGTGGTACCCATTTCCCATGGAATTAGGGTTAAACCGTATGGCCTCTTGACCTAAGGATTCGTGGGTGCATGTTATATTGACTCTTTTTTAGTACTTTGAATATTATATTGTTGACTACGCTATTCCTGGGATGGCAGCCTTTAGGGAATCGGCAGTTCAATGGATGGTAACCATTTTCTTCAACTCTTATGCTGCAAAGAAAACAGTTGAAAGAATAAACTATATTGTAACCAATACGAAGACCAATTGATATGCTCGATGGTTCGGAAGATATATGAAGACTGAGATTGCTGGGGATAGCGCAATCCATTCATAGCTACGGTCAAAGTTGGCAAATCGAAAGTCAGTTAATCCTTCTGGTTGTAGGTTCTATATAATAGAAATTTGACGGAAATAAAAAAAAAATCCCAATCAAACATGAAGATAGACGATGGGCGATTGAAGATTTATTGGCATCACAATATATTTTAAAGTTTCACAATCAGTGTTGTTCTTCTTACTTTGATAAAATAAAATAGCATATTACAAACTAGCGAAAATTGGATAAAAAATTGGAACTTGCAGCTATATAAACGATAAATTTAAAATTTCCTAGAAATAATAACATTATATATCTTTGATAGTTTTGCAGGATTATTAACTTAAATAGTTATTTTTTATAAGCCATGACTTACCCGAAAGCGGCTATAACTTAGTCATCTTACCATCTTTCTATATTTTATATTATAAAATAAATATACACTAGTTTTCTATGTTCCTATCATGTCATATTTATTCTTACTCAGGGACCCTGAGTGAACGAATGAACCGCTAAACCGTTATAAATCTTTATAGATATCTGAACCATAACCGAACCGATGTAAATATTTCTTGAAGGAGTAAAAAGAATCTTTAGAAAAAAAGTTAAACCGATTTGAACCGGTTTCAGCCAAAATAAAATAAATAATTTTACCTTTTATTACATTCTTTTCCTTTTGGTGTATTTATTATACCATATCTGCGTCGTTATTTATAATTATTAAATGATCAAAATATTTGTTTAATGTCCATAAGGTTTTTATTAATTTTTCACTATGATTTGAATTGATCTACAATCTTTTAACTGCTTCATATAATATTAGAGCATTCTTATTTCCTATATTTTAGTATGCAAAATATCTAAATAACCAATTTTTGATTTAGTTGTATTTAATTAATCTAAAAAATCATCAGTTTTTATGTATTGGGAATCAAAATTTGAATATCCAAATTTATATAAACTTGCTTTTATAGTACTTGCGTTTCCTTCAACACAAGTTTCTGTTAAAAGGGCCTTTTGTGTTGTCGTCACAACGATCAAGTAGGAATCCACTTATATTAGAAAATATATTACTTATACGTCAAATAATATATTTAGAAATGGGGTATGATTCATATATATTATTCATAGATACTTATAATAAAAATAAATTAATTTCATCTATTTTATAAATAAACAATATTAATAACTTAAGAGATGGCAAAAATTTTAATAAATAATATTTATAAATAAAATCATTATACGATGGTTGCTTCAATAAAAATAATTTAGAAAAAAATTTCTAATCGTAATGAACCTTTACTAGCAGAAACTAATCGAAAATTTATAAAAAAAATTTAAAAACCGTAATCGAACCGTACTTGTATAATTTTTTACATACTGAACCGTTATAGATAAAAGTTCGAATCCCTACTCTTACTAAATATTATTTACTATTAAGAACGTTAAAAATATTATGGTAATAAGTAATTATAATGTAAGGTGCCTGCTGAGTATTTCCAGTGCCTGAGGATAGTTCAGTTACACTCCACGAAATTTGTAATAGTAATCACTTTTTTATCCTAAAACGTCCTCTATAAATTTTTTTGTATTATTTTAATATTTATATGGCATAACGAGACCTATGTGCCGAAGCCTCAATTGACGATGGCGGTTTAAAAAAATTTATTTATCGGCGTTAAGTGGCGAGCCATTGTAACCGCCTAATAAATTAGCGGCAGTCGCAGCATGCTATTTTTAAAAATTTTTAATGAATTTAATTTATAATTCAATGTATTACATTTATTTTTTAATTTATTTGGGCACTCTCAGTTCTAACATATATAAATTAATTTATTTCTTAAATTATTTTCTGTCTCACTCCTATTTAAATTTATGTATTTTATCTTTCTCAGAAATAGACTAAGGAATTGCATTTTTACTCAGATCAGAGTCACATAAATAGCACATATTAGTAACATTCTATTGACCTTTATTAAAAAAATTAAATATAAATTTGGAATGTAAACAAAATATAAAGTAATAAATATAATAAATTAAATCAGATTTTTTAAAATTATAATTGTCATGAATAAATAGTATTTTTTTTCTTTTTGCCTTGAGTATTACAGCGATTAAAAAAATTCGTCACCTGGGTGTACTGGTTGCAGGTATACAGAACCTTCCTAGCTAAATTAGCAAGTCTAGGAAGTTCCTTTTTTTTCCAAAATATTAGTACATCCTCTTCTGTTATATTATGTTGGCTGATCTTGCTCTATATTGCTAATGTTGTTATAATCGTTGCTTGGAAGGGAATTTTTACGATCTATTTTAGCTATATATGAACTGGATGTTTGCCCATTATCTTCAACTTGAATCTCACTCTGTGCATTTCTATTATACCCTAAAAGTTTTAAATGTCTATAAAAATTGCAATAATGTCGTAGAATTCGAATTTAAATATTCTGTAACAATTTAAAGATTTTAAAATCTCGGATCAAGTAGTGTCGCTAATATCTAATGTTTAAAATATAATTTTATTAATAAAAATATAATATAAAATAAATTACTTGAAGTTCGATAATTGAAAACTTATGGAAGCTTTTCTCTCTGAATGGAGTTAATAATGTGTAAAGTTCATTCATTAATTATTAAAATTATAAGGATTGTTTACCAATTTTATTGAGAATAATATTTATAAAAATTTTCTTAACACCACGGATATTTTCTAGTATAATTAATATACTGTTGCAGAAGGTAGGGCAATTTAACTTTAAAGCTTTTCATATTAATTAGATATGTAGATGCAATGCAATTTATATTATTAGCCTCACCAGAGATATCAAAATGTTTATCAATGGATCAGAATCAATCTTTAATTTCACATTTCAAATCAGCTGTTCGATATCTGAGGGCTGAAATGATTTTTCTAATTTTTTATAATCAGAATATTAATTCTTGCAACTTTTTTATGCCATTCACTATAACTAAATCATGAAGTCCATACCCTAAGCACAAATGATGCTCATAATCTTCCAATCTGACGCTTCTTTTAATGTTAGCCCCAACATCTGTATTATTTGATTTTTTACATCGAATTCTTTTTCTATACGATCGATCTCAGATAATATAGTTTCACCAGTATGCCTTTGCTTCACTTTTCTAGTGGCCTAGGTAAAATTTTTTAAATCAAAATTTTCATTTAAATGACTAAGACTACACGTCATATAATTTCGACGCTTGAAATGATCTGTCCATAAATCAAAAGAGAAAGAAGAGTATTTTGATCCAGAATCAATCAGGTTTAAAAATGCACCTTTATAGATATATCAGGCAAATCTATCGAGTAATAAAATATCATATTTTTATTTTTATAGACAATTTATTTTTTAATAATAATTTTATTTTAATTTCAAACTTTTAGGAAATCAGTTATTCTTTTATTATTTATAGAATAAATGGCATCAAATCTAGCAGCATATCAAAACATAAAAGAGATGCTAAAAAAACTCGATCAGAGCTGGCAATAAACAAACTAGGGTGGTTTAAAATGTGAAAGTCCATATAAAAAATTAAGATGTATTAATATTTGTGTAATTTTAAATATGATGCATGAATATGAAGGAATGTAAATCATTACATGAATTTATTATGTGCCAAAAGAGTACAATTCATATTTTAATCTTATTAATGTTAATATTCAAATTTAAATAATATATAAATATAAATAGCATTCTAAAAATTATGCAGGCCACGCCGCCTCCACAAAAAAATTGGCGGCTAGCCTGGCCGCGCCTCTTATCATAATCTACGGCTTTTCCGGCGTGAATAAAATTGCCGGCATGAGCCGGCTGTGTGCAGGTCTAGTCATAGCAAACGTAATCGTCATTTTTTTTTAATAGCAGAGCTACGCTTGAACCCTCTCAAATTCCATCTAACTGGATTAAAAAATTGCGGGTAACCTAAGAGATAAGGTTGGCAAAACTTGTGACTTTTTTAAAATTAAAATATCGATTTTTTTGATTTAAATCGCGATTTAAACTAAATACTAATATTTCAATTAGAGAAGTTATAGATTTAGATTGAAAAATATCATTTATCATAATTTTAATTACCTTAGTATACTATTTTTTTGTAGATAGTTAATTCATCAAGAGATCCGGTCAGGAAATTATTGAAAAAATATATATTGATAAGTTTAAGCTTATTTGATATTTTTTCAAATGAAAAGCTGACTGTCAATCAGAACTTCAATATGTGCAAACAAAAAATTAACTAGTCGATATCAGTGAGTCGGGAAGAAAATCATTCATTTTTTAAAACGAATACTATTATGAATATCCTCAAATAAAACTTTTAAACCAAATTTACAATTTTATTTTTATGACTAATAAATAATGGAGTTTAATATTTTTAATTTTAGCTACTGTTATTTCCCAATTGAGTGTTCTGATGCATTCCCCTAATTTAAAATATACGTTATAATACCCTTAATTAAAATATCTTAATGATTAGTTTTGTGGCAATTGTTTAATTATTTTGAAACTCTCCCTCTCCTCCTTTCTACACTAGAGGCTAGTTTTTAAATTATATTATGATAAATATGATTTATAACCCCCTTTTTCTGAGGATAAATCAATTGTTTATAACAAAATATCACACAAATCAAACAAGCAAACTAATCATTTTTAAAATGTGGTTATTTGACCAAATCAAAAAGATTAATTTTATCTAAATAAGATTAGTTCATTATAATTTTTATTATATGATTGTTATTATAATACTTTCACTGAAATATTTCTTATCCTTTCTTTTAACCCACAAATATGTTTCAATAACAAACAATGTAACCAAAGTGTGCGTAAGTTGGAAAGCCACTTGGTTAAATGTCCATGGGAAATAAAAAAGATAGATAAAGCCCATGCCTTATTAGTAATATTTATGGAAAGGTATTGATTAGAATATCATTGTGAATTTCCATAGGAAAAATCTAAATCAGGATTAAATAGTTATAATAATACTAAAAAAAGATGATCGATTATTTATTAATTTCAATATTAACTTATATTTACATTTTCGATTTCAAAGTGTATGGGCGCCATTTTCGGGAATAACCATAAAACCCACTCTAAAGTTTTCAACATTTTTCTAATTATTTTTTCTTCTTTGGATCTATTTTAATATTTGATATGTATAGATCTATAATTGATTAAGTATGATCACGTGATGGGTAGGAAGTAATTTGCCATTTTTAATATCTTAAACTTAACTGGGAAAATCAAAATAGGTATTTTGAAAAAGTATTTATCTTCTTCATGTAAAGTTATTCATCTTCTTTCAATATTTTTCCAATATTGTATTAATAGTTGACATGTATTGGTCTAATTAACGTTTAGGTATCATCGCGTGATAAGCAGGAAGTTGTTTGCAAAAATGTATTTTAATTGTTTAAATAATTAAATCTTGCTAATATTGACTAACTTATCTTTTCTTGTTCAAGAAGTTTAGAAGAATCATCATGGTAACCGACGAATTCACCAAAACTAGTTTATTTCCCGAGGAATAAAAAAGGCGACATTGTCCCAGAGCTCTTCATGGCTACGGGCCTGCTTTTACTAGTCGCGATTAAAATATTGAATTAATATTTAAAACTTTTGAATTACGCAATCGAAATAACATTGATCGAATCTTATAATTTTAGTTAGTGACAGACTGGACCCATTTTACGAGCAAAAACTAGAATTTAGCCTGAAAGACTTGTACGCTATCAAAAAGATCCAGGCAAATCCCAACACCTTTAACTTACTCCGTGACTCGCTATGTCCTACTATATATGGTCATAAGGTTTTAACACAAGAGTACACTATAAGTTGTATAGATTAAATAAACATTAGCTTAAAATCCGATTTGACATTAATTTGTTTAATATCCCATTTCTTTTGAAAAACCTTCATTCATATTATTAAAAAAATTTTTATTTTCTATGAATGATTTTTTTTAAATTGAATTTATTTATTCCTATCATTCTATCTTGTTAATGTTACAATTGTAATCTCTACATTATGTTTTGAATTACACTAACTTGTTATTATTCTTTTTTTATATGTAGTGGCTCTTGCCATATAATAGAAAAAAACGGGCTATAGTGCCCCCTCTTGGAGTTTCTTAATTACCATTTATACCTTTTCCTATGACTCATACATTTTTTTTATTGAAGATCGTTAAATCGGCGTTACTTTTAGCCTTGTTTGGGGGTGTCGAGAAATATGCCTGTAACATGAAACAGTTGTCCATTCGTAGCGAAATACACATCTTGTTGGTCGGGGATCCCGGTATAGGTAAAAGCCAGGTAAAAAACATTTTCTATTTAATATGTCTATTAATTACGCTTACAAAGTGAATGATTGCTTTATATAGTTGGTCTAATTATTTTTTTGTTATTTCCTATTCCATGACAAATCGATCATGAGTCGACCCCTTTTCAAATTGTTAAAAATTTTGGAATTGTTTAGACAGGTAAAAAATGATGTAGCCTTATATATTGACTTGCTAGCACATCTGATTCTCAAGATACAGGACCTCAAAGGTGCGAAAAATAACGACTTTCGAATCTGTTTATCTCAAATACTATTTATAGTATAAATAAATATTATGTTGTAGACAAAAAAATCTCTAAAGGTCTATCGAAAAAAGAATTGCGCATTTTTAAGGCCCCGAGCTAAAATAAACAGCTTTCTCATTTTTTTTACCTATCTAAATAATATAGAAGATTTTAACAATTTTAAAAGGGGTCTGCTGAAAATGTGTCTTTTTCGATCGATTTGACCTGGAATGACCATTCTATAGGAAAATATTAGATTAATTGGAAGCTAATATATAGAGTTGGGGTTGGGGGGGGGGGGCTGGGCTAACGTTCACGAGTAAAATTTATAAAAGAATTTTTTTATCATAAAGATGTTAAAAGCTATAACCAATTTGGCACCTAATGGTATATACGTTTGTGGTAATTCAACAACCCAGGCAGGTCTTACCATAACTCTCACGAAGGATGGAAATTCTGGTTATGATTAAAAAAAAATTTATTATAATTTTTACACTATTTCAATTAAAAATTCTTCACAAATCAATTAAAACAGAGTATGAAATTTAAAAATAAAATATAAAAAAAAATTTAAAAGATTTTTGAATACATAAATAGTCTCCATTGAAACACGTTGATTTAATAAATTGATTGTAAAATTTTTAAAATTAGAGCTATCTGTTCCCTTAAAATTTAAGAAAAAATATTTTACTTTTCTTCCTTGAGCTGGTCATTATCATTGGGTTATTTTTCCTTTTACATTTCGTTTTTTTATAAAGTTACTAGAAAAGGTCTCATAAACAATAAAAATAAAGGAGAGCCTAAGCAAGGAGCGGATAAGAAACTCAAAATTTATTTTTTTAAAATTTTTTTTAACGTACAAGGGTAGAGAATTTTTTTCTCTTCCTAATGATGCCTCAAATTAAGCTTTATCTTTATTATTTATTTCGGAAATCAAATTTTAAACCTTATATTATAGCGTGAAGTTAGCCCCCCCCCCCCGATATTCAAAATTTGAGATTTTTCAAATTTTTAAAACGGGATTGATTTGTACCCGATTTGTACCGTTTCAAACTCGATTTGTACTATTACCATTTTCCAGCTATTGACCGTGGCGCCAAAAATAAAAAAACACTCAACATTTATTTTTTTAAAAAATTTTTAACGTACAACGGTAGAGAATTTTTTCTCTTCCTAATGATGCCTCAAATTAAGCTTTATCTTCATTATTTATTTCGAAATGAGTGTTTTTTATTTTTGGCGCCATATCTTTAACGGTCAATAGATGGAAAACGGTAATAGTACAAATTGAGTTTGAAACGGTACAAATCGGGTATAAATCAATCTCGTTTTAAAAATTTGAAAAATCTCAAATTTTGAATATCGGGGGGGGGCTAACTTCACGCTATAATATAAGGTTTAAAATTTGATTTCCGAAATAAATAATAAAGATAAAGCTTAATTTGAGGCATCATTAGGAAGAGAAAAAAATTCTCTACCCTTGTACGTTAAAAAAAATTTTAAAAAAATAAATTTTGAGTGTTTTTTATTTTTGGCGCCATATTTTCAACTGTCAATAGCTGGAAAACGGTGATGATACAAATCGAACTGAAAACGGTGCAAATCATCTATCGACCTATTCACTTTTTATTTTTAAGTTCAAAAGTTGGGGGGCTGTCGTGAAGTTGGCCCCCCATTTTGTTCTTTGAATATCTCAAAAACGGTGATGGTACAAATCGAACTAAAACGGTACAAATCGAACTAAAACGGTACAAATCGATACAAATTGGGTACTAATCACACCAACTGATAAACCATTGAAAATCAAAAATTGTCGGGCCAACTTCACGGACCTTAACTAAACGATTAATTTAATTCAGCAATTGTAATTAAGTAATAAGTTTTAAGGTGGCCTAATTGTTCTTATTTTCAAATTAGGCCTTGCCCAAAACATCAAAGAAATGAATTTACAAACTTGAAATTTTAATGATAAATAAATAAGCTTGCAAAAATAGAAACATATCCAAAACATAATTCTAGAAAATTTCAAATTTTTTAAATATGATTTCAATAATGCGAAAGTTTTGAAACTTTTAAATAAACATTTTTTTTAAAGGAAGGGGTTCTTTTTGGAATGGATTAATTTTCCTATGGCAAATATTATGGAAGGCTAATTTTCCAGGCTAATATAACCCCCTAAGTTAATAATATAAATAGAATTCGAAGTAATTTTAAGTATTTTATAATTTTTTTGATAATATTCAGGAGATTATTCAATCGAAGCCGGAGCCTTGATATTGAGCGATAACGGCGGGGTATGCTGCATAGACGAGTTGGATAAAATGCCCAATGCGCAAAGGTTATCTCTTTTGGAATGTATGGAACAACAGAGCGTTAGTTTAGCTAAAGCAGGTAAATTTATATTCATATATATTAAATTTAATATATTAAATATTAATATTTAGCATAAAATATTAGGATTTAAAAATTTTTTTGCAATTATTCATTACAATTACTTGACCGCAAAATTCACATCATATATCATTTTAAATAAAAATTGGGTTAGCTAATAAATTAACAACCTTAAAATGATTGCTAGATTTTTTATAAATAAATATTTGTATATTTTCTAATGTTCTTAATTTTTTTAAAAGATTTACTATATTAATTCGAAAAAACCAAGGCTCAATTTATATTCTTATAAAATATATTCATTTTTTAAAAAATCAATTTTGTTTTTAGGCATAAATTGTACACTCCCATCTAGAGGTTCCATAATTTCGGCCGCTAATCCTCATGGCTCAGGTCATTATGATAATTCTAAGAGCATTGGGGAAAATTTGAAGTTTGATTTCCCTCGCCCATTCAATTTATAGATTATATAAGAGACCTGCAGGCCCGGGATGGGCTAAAAAATTGTATATTCTAAAAAATTTTGAAAAATTAAAAATATGAGCCAGTCCCATTTTATAAAAGATAAATTTAAATTATTTTCGCTAGAAAATCATATAACTGAGTGTTTCATATTCATTTACTGCTTATATTTTTTATTTCCTTTTGAAACCATTTACAAAATTCAGCTAAAATTACTCTTGTTGAAAATTACGGGCCGGCTAAAGAAATCTCGAGCCGGTTTAAAATTTTTGACTTCTGCAGGTCTCGTGATTATATTATTTAATTATATCGAAAATAACGTTATGCCATCATAGTGTTGTTGATTTAAGTGTTAATTTTGAAATTTTTGAGAAAACAAAAATTTGTTAAATATTGTTTAATAAAACTCAAAAATGATAACAAAGTTCTTAATATAATTGTCTTAACAGTCAATGGATTTATTATCTTATTTATAAGAATTTTAAATTGAATTTTCTCATGTTAAATCGTGTTAGAGTTAGAAGATAAACCAGTGTCGATGTTTATAATATTAATCAGTGCTAGGATTGGGCAAAAAGTTACAAATAGCGCTTCGTTACAGGATAAAACTCTTACATAATTCTCCTATGAAGATTTAAAAAAGAATTTCTATAACCGTTATATTTGTTTGTGTAACGTAACTTTTGTTATTCGTAAAATAAAAATATTTACTATTTTTGTAAAATAAAACTAATCTTTCTTAACTAAATATTTTATAATAAAAATATATTAAACTTTAAAAATGGAATGCCTGATTGTATTGTTTAACAAAAAACAAGAAATTCAAAAGCAATAGGTAATTGAATTTCTTCATTTTCACAATCTTCAATAGTTAATAGACCATGGCGCTGTCTTATTTTAACTGGGAGAAATACAATGAAAAAATAGACTTAAATATTTACCTGAAATGGAATTTATATTTACAATGAATTAAATTGAAAATAAAAAGGCCTTTTTTATCATGGGTTTGTTGGAAGGTGTTTTACAAAATGCCGCCCCAGTTTACTATGGGCAGGGGTATATTGCCAAGGGGGGGGGGTTACGGAGACAATTCCCCTAGTATTTTTTTGCCCCCATTTTAAATTTTGCGGAGAGGCTGAGCCACCTCAAAGAATTTTGATATTTTTTTTAAAGTATTATTTGATATATGTTTAAAAATCTTTTTTATATATTTTTTAGACACAGAAGATAGTGAATCAAAAAGTCATATTATTTTTATAGAAAAGTCTTCGCCACTTCTGCTTTATTAAGATATAAAGTGAAGTTCACCATCAACAAGTAATCGTGATAAATAGCTCCATTTTTCGTAGGTTTTGAGCCAACTCTAAAAAGGTTAGACCAAATTTTTAAGAGAAAACGATCATCTTAGCCTCTATCAAAGTTTAAACTTAAAGATAGTTCCACCTTGAAAAAAATTTTCTTGTCTCATGGCTTATCGAATATTTCTGACTGTTAGGATGGAGCCGATTTAACAACACTACAGGCAAGAAACAGTCCAATAACAAAATCTTTTATATGTTTAAAATTTGAAATAGAGGTTATTATTTGTTAGGATTCTTCAATTTATTTTGAAAGAAATAATAAATTGTGATATATTTTTATAAGTTCTTCGATGTTCTTTTGTCAAAGAACTTTTTTTTTTATTGATTGACAGATTTAAAAATAAATAAATCACTGGCAATAAAATATTATATATGCAGCATCTACATGACAGAAAATTCATTAGAGATGAACTCCCTCCAAAATCTACTCCCATCCCCCTAAAAATTTGTGCCCTTCTTTCTCAATATTTGCCTGCCCATTATGCTATAACAACCCCATGATATTACTTTAAAAAATCAACAATTCTAAAACTTTTCAGGCCTCATTATTAATTAGACTTGGAATAACAAATAAATATTAATTGGATATAGTTATAGTTAACTAGTTGTTACTAACCGTATCTAAGCATTTACCACGAGCGTGTAAAACTTCAAACTATTAAAATTGTATATGTGAATTAATGAGAAATAAATTTATATACCCTCCTTTGGAGGGTTACCCCCCCCCCCCCTCCATAAAAATGAAGTCAAATCACTCCTACCCTCCTCTCATATAGACGCGGTATTATAGGTAAATATTTACTGATGTCGCTCGATTCATTAATTAAACTTTTATTTAAAAATATACCATTAAAAAAATTCTAGACTTAATTAAATTAAAAATTAACAATTTATGATATAAGTAAAAAGTATCATACAGTCCTGTCTAATTAATAGCCTTGAAAACGAGGGGTAAAATTATTAGAATATTTTATTTATATGTGTTCGATATATTCTTTATTCAAAAATCAAATTGGCCTAAAAACTTAGATGTGTGATTTGGCAAGAAGCAATAAAAAAAATATTCAAATGAAATGAATATGAAACGATTGCTGGGTTTTGGCAATATATCGATGAAGATATTCCTAATGAAAAATTTCTTAGCAGTGTGATACTTTATCCTGAAATAGCTCAAGTATGGGGCTTTCATCTTGTTATTTTGATCATTGTAGATAATCGAGCTAGTTGAGTAAATAATTTGTCAAATTTAAGGTTCATTATTAATGGATTTTCGATATTGAAATAGATCCATATATCAAAATATGGAAAAGAAATTATCGCAGGTGAATGAAACCTTTTAAAAAAAATACAGCCCAAAGGAAACGGAGAAATGAAAGATTAATGAAAATTTTTAAATTCATATTTATATATTTTTTAATTTGTATAAATATCGGTGGTATTAAATTTGTGACATTATTTTCAAAATATAAATAAATAAAAAATTTATTCTATTCATAATATTAAAAAAAATCGATTTTATATATATCATATTTTTGATATAGAAAAAATCGTAGCTTTCCCACCCCATCCAAATTTTTAAGCAATATACCACTGTAGATGGGCCTTGATAAAATCAGGCATAGAAGAATGGCTGATTATGGCAATGGCAACATATGGGGGGGGGGCAAAAAACGGATTGAAGTACATGAAGAGGACTACACGAAGGATTCGTTCTGTATGTTTATTTATCCCAGTAATGTGCGCGGTTATAGAGAGATGCGCGGAAGACTTCCATGGGGGCTATTATAGACTGATGACCGTGTGACTAACAACGAGGAAGAACTGAAGGATAAAATTATTGGATAGAAGATGGCTATGGACGCAAAAGGCTAAAAATGAATACAGAAAAGACAAAGATAATGATTGGTCGAGTTACTTTACATGTAGGAATACGGCATTTGGCCTTGTGATGGAAAAGGAGGATAGACATTCAATCTCGGAGGATATTGGTAAAGGATAATCTTTGTAAAAAGTGAGATTCTTATGTTATTGTAAGTTAAAGCCAGATAATTATGTTGTTGTTGCAAGGATCAGATATGCGGAGGAAAAGTTTCGAACGATGTCGTCTATTCTAAGAAATAAAAAGTCTCTAAAGTTGAAAGGGAAAAGCTTACGTAAGCTATCTGAGAAGTTGTATAGTCGATGGTTCAATCACTGGCAATGAAAATGGCACGTGAAGCTAAATTCGAAAAAAAGGAGATGAGAATGATTAGATGGTAGTGTGGGGTATGTATGAGGGAGTGAGGGAGAAAAACAAACAATGATTACAAGAAAATTGGAATAGAACGTTGGAACGGTGGGAGAAAAATACTGAGGTTATTTGAGCATGTTGGGCGAAAGTTGATTAGATAAAAGATGCACCTTGAAAGTAAAGAGATCAATCGAGGAAGACCCAAAAGGACAGAGATGAAAGTGATAACGGATGACATGATAAAAATGGATCCTACATATAGCGATGTCCAGTACAGTGAAAAATGAAGAAAGGGAATCAAAAGGGAAGCTGGCTGAAATGCGCTATTAAACGGAAAAGAAAACAATAAATTACGAATAAACTTGTTTCGTTTATATGCTTTTTTATTTTAAATTTTAGAAAGAAATGAATATTAATTTCAAGAAAACAATAAATTACGAATAAACTTGTTTCGTTTATATGCTTTTTTATTTTAAATTTTAGAAAGAAATGAATATTAAATTCTTTATTTTTCTATTCAATATATTCTTTTTTTTAATTATGTAACGAAGAGCTTTTGTAACCGTTGCATGTTATAAACAACGGTAACATAACCATTAAACCTTTTTTGAGGTGACGATGGTAACTGTATATTTTTTTTAATAACGATAACTGTTAATTTTTAAGCTTATCAGCGCAATTAATAACCATTATTTTTTGTATATTTGTTTTAAAACATCCTAAAAAGACTACAAATTTCTTATTTTACATTTTTAGTTTTAATTTTACCATAGTGATTTTATATTACGAACACAAAAATATTTAAATAAATTATTGAAGAACCACAATTATTTATTTCATATATAGTAAGAAATGACTAAAGTTTATAAATTAATAAAAAAAATTATAAAGTAAATTTAATTGTGAACTCTCATGTTTTTTTTTATTTAAATTAAAATATTCTCTGTTGTATTTAATAATTTATCACATCACATAATTTTTATTGCGTTATCATGCCTAACGGTATATTAGAATGAGTGCGTCTCTCCTGTCAAGATTCGATTTGATATTCGTTATGACTGATCGGGCTAATCAGGAAATGGACGCAATGCTCTCTGAACATGTGATAGCCTTGCATAGCGAATTCAGCCATAAAAATTTAATTCAATCCGCAAAAAATCACGGGGATCTTCAGATTAAGACTACTTCCTATTTTAGCAACGTATTCAAAGTTTTATATCATATAAATATATTTAATATTTTTTGTCATGTTATAAATTAAAACCTTTAAGGGATCAATTTGACCCGATTCGTATGAAAAAAGGCATTTTCCCGACCTAACCCCAAATTTTTTTTTAAGAAAAATTCAACCCAACATAACATTAATTCTATACGAAAATAAAAGTTAATCATAATTTTCTGACCCAAACTGGTCCGATCGGTAGGTTGGGTATTCTGATAGAATCGGGTTTTGAAGATCTCTTATTAGTGGTGTAACTTGGCGGGGAGTTACCATTTTTTATATACTATCAAAAAATATGATAATATATAAAATTGACTTTTACAAATATGAATATATATATATTTTTTTTAAATATTTTATGATTGAATTATCATAATATTTATTTAATATCCATAAAAAGTATGTATTAATTTTTTTCACTATGACTTAAATTGATCCTCAATTTTTAACTGCATCTTATAGTATTGAGCCATATTCCTATTTTGTATGCAAAATGTCCAAATAACCAATTTGTAGATTTTCGATTTAATTGCATTTATTTAATTAATTTAAGCATAATAGCACCACCTACCCTTAAGTAGTTTGATGGAAACCCATTATTACCATATAAATTTTAAAATGACCAAATTTAGGTTTTAGTTTTATATATTATTTTATAGAATTTTGGCATTTGTATTTTAAAGCATTACTATTGTTATAGCCTTTATTTTATAGATTTTGTATTATCTTGGAATGCAAGTATTTGCAAAGTTGTTCAAATCTATTTTTTATATTATTTTTTAGATGTGAGGGATTGTAAATCATTTAACTAATAATATCCATATGCTGTCGCTTTACAAATTCATGGTATATTCTAATTCGTTTATCAATATCATAATTTTACAATATTTGTTTGCTCTGACCTCATATTTTTTATTGTACGTTGATAATATAAATATTACTTTAATTTTCTTTAGAAAAAATTTAAATGGTCCTCACCAGAAACCCTGTCCGTTCCTTTTTTACTTATAATATTCTCCTAAATGAATCAGCCTGTGATATAGATAAGTGCAAAATCATTCTTAAAGGTGACCATAGAGCTAATTTGGAACCTATTCATATGCACCATTCTAAAGAACATGAATTCCTACTTATAAAAAAATTGATGCTTATTTTCCCATCAATATCAAAATCTAACCATAATATTTTCTATTTAGCAGGCATTGAATTCTATGATCAGGGTTAAAAAATGGATAAAAACACATTAATAAAATTTTTTTACAGTGTTATGATTTTTATATATTATTCATAGATACTTATAATAAAAATTAATTTATTTCATCTATTTTATAAATAAACAATATATTAACTTAAGTGATGGCAAAAATTGTAATAAATAATATTCATAATTATTAATTAAAATCATATTCAATGCTGTTGCTTCAATAAAAATAATATAAATTTTTTTTATATAACCGCCTTGAATCTTTATAAACCTTTAAAATTAGGTGAACAGAATCGAACCTTTATACATTTTTTTTAAGAACCTTAACCATTATGAATCTTTATATATTGAACCGTAACCAAACTAAACCGTTATAAATAAATGTTCGAGTCCCTGCATATTACAGAAATATTATTAAACTATATAATAGAATTTAAATTATTGCTCTAATATAATTATTTCTCGAGATATTTAAAAATAAATGAGGCATTTTTCTCCGCTTTAAACTCCCACATCTTAGCGGTAAGCAGTGTTTAGAGGTAGATTTTCATTTTATAAGGAAATGTTATGTCTTTATCATACAGAGTGGATATTTTCAAAAAAAATCCATTTTGTTTAAAAGCACTTAGTTCATTGGTAAACCTTACTTGTTTACCACACATTTATATCTAAACAAATAATACTTTCCCGCAAAATTAAAAATCATATAGGATTTGGAGCCAAATGTAACGATTAACGATAAGAATATAGCTCAATTTCGAGAATCTTACATTGTCAAAAAGAAATCCCTTTTGCCGACTGTTCTGCTTAAAAAATACTTGAAATATGCTAAAACATATGTGACGAACGTCGAATTAATGCCCGGGGCCAAAAGTTTAATCAGAGAGTTTTACCTCGAACTGAGGACTAAAAGCTGCGATATGTTGGGAATACCCATCACCATTAGGCAATTGGAATCGCTGATTAGACTCACCGAAGTTCATTTATTCAAAATTCAAAAAAGGAAATTATTTTTATTATAACAGAATTATGAAAGTATGAGTTAATTAAAATAGAGGATAAATCATTGATTAAATTTTTTTATATTTAATACACATAAATATACAGAATCTTAACCCTCCATCTTAATTCATAAATATCATTTTAAGATAATAAAAATTTTCCTCGTTAATGTATATAATATTTTACTATAAAATATAATTTAAAAGAAAAACTAGTAAAAATTAATAACTTTTTTAATTAAAGGCTATATTTCAAAACTTATTAAAATTTAATATTTACAAGACCTTCAATAAGTGGTCGTAAAGACCTCCGATAAAATTATGAAATAAACCCACCTAATAGTGCCCCCCCCCCCCAGAAAAATCCTGAATATGCCTATGTAAATATACATTTTTTAAATACTAATTTCTATTTTACTGATTATTTTTACACATAAAGGCCAGAGCTAAATTAGATTTAAGGGGAAAAGCCGATGAAAAAGATGCCATCGATATAATCAACATCATGAAACACAGTATGTGGGGAGCTAACAGGCCCATGACTGTGATGGAAAACAAGGTCGAATTCTATAACAGCATAACGAATATTAATAATTCTTGTGGAAAGAGTTATAAGGCTCAGGTAAATGTTGTAATTAATAATTATTCTGAGGCGTAACAGCAATATCAGCCTAGAAAATTTTTGCCCCGCCCCGTTATTTAATATCAAGATTTATTTAGAGCAGAGATGCAGCCTAGTATCGGTCTATGTTCTTGGTTTCTTTCATCTATATCATGTTTATTGGCCGATACCTATCTTCTAAAATTTAGTTGATTCTTTTTAAATCAATTTTGCTATAAATTTTTATTTTTATAAAAATGGTCGGGGTTTGTGAAAATTATTTTTTATTAAATAAAATAACTTGTCTCTCGCGCTTCTCTATATTTTTAGATTGGTATTTTATTTTTTTAAAATTCTTGTATATTTCATTCTCTTCTAAAAAAAAATTCAAAACTAAATATCTCACAACAAAAGAGCAGACCTTGTCTCTACGCCTTGGTCGAAAGACCAATCTTTGGTATGTGATTATACCTTATAGATTCGTTTGCGAAATCTATCGCACAATATGAATGCATTGCGGTTGTTGAAATCCAAAGGCAACACATATTCACAATTAGAAAGCGTATTTTTTTACCCTTTGTTACTACCACATTAGAAAACTTCTGGGAAGAAGCGATCTTCTTAAAAACTTTAATAAAAAGTCATCACTGGAGATCCCAACGAAAATTTACCTAGGAAGATACCTCTCGAGATATGCAGATTCAATATTATCTCCGTTCTCAGCTCTATGACAGACAATATTTACAATATATCTATTTATTCCTCCCGCCCCCTCCCCCTTCTTGTTTTTAATATTTTAGTTCATATAATTTTTAATATATTATTTTTTAAAAAATATTCCGATTCTATTAGTTTTAATATATCTTTATTAAACAAGTGATTATTTGAAATTTAAAATAAATATTTTAAAAAATATATAATGATGAAATATTACTAAAATTATGAATTTAAGATTTTTCTTTCTTTTTTTCTATTTCGGTACACCTCCAATTAAAACTCAATTATTTAAATATAACTTTCTTTGCATCAGAATGGTTGCAAATAATATATGAATTTTCAGAAAGGAAAACTAGAATCAACTAGAAAGAATAATATATGTTTGAGATAAATATTCGAAACCTTTTGGCCGCGATTCTTTAATTTAAAGCTATATTTGTTCGATGCCAGCTGTGGTGTTTAATAATATATATCAGAGACCTGCACGTATTTTAATTTTTTTAATATACCCTTTCCGGGCCGCCTAAAATTTTTTTTAAAAAAAATATCCGAGCCGGGCTGGGCCGTATATTTTAAAAGCAAATATTTGAAATCGCCATTATTAGCTATAAGAATCAAAAATAAATAATATTTTGAAAAAATTGGGACCAAGGCGGGCCGAAGAAAATTTTTGAAAAAAAAATCCAGGCCGAGCTAATGGTACCTCTGCAGATCTTTGATATCTATGTCACGCTGTGACACTCACACTGTGACAGTCGCACTTTCATAATTTATAATATATACATTTAAAAAATCGTTAATTTTGAAAAGTGTCTGTGGCCCAATCGGTAAGAGCGTCGTTTACAAATCTAATGGACTTAGTTTCGAATCCCAGCAAAAAAATTTTGTCTTAATCTGGCTAAATATTTTTTTTTCTTAATCTGGCAAAATTAATCAAATAGATACGATTCAAAGTTTGTAGCTACTTTAAAATTCAAATTAAATAGGTATTCTTATCAGAGACCTGCAGAGGTACCATTTGTACGTCCCAGCCCGGATTTTTTTTCAAAAATTTTTTACGGCCCGGCCCGAGTTTAAAAAATTTTAGGCCCGGCCCGGATATTTAAAAAAAAAATTTGGGGGCCCGGCTCGGAATTTTTTTAAATTATATTCGATCTGGTATATACATAAAATTCATTATTTCGTATTTTATCATATTTTTCGGCGATTATTATCATTTAATAAGCAAGTATATTATGCTGATGTTGTTAAACGGTTCTCAATATTTTCGCCAGAAAAATATTGACTAAGCCTCGAAATTTCGATACTATATGTCTAAACCTTTGCTCCTTCTATGAGCAAAATTTTCAGGCTTGCATAATATTTTTCTGGATAAAAAACTGAGTTGGCCGTTTTTAAAAATCGGCTCGAGCCGTTTAACAACACTATATTATTTATTTTTTTATTCTTAACAGATATTTAGTATATTACAAATTGATACTATAAAAAATTTGTGTAGATAATATTTTGAGAATACTATGTATTTATAAAAAAGTAAAAATGATATTTTAATTAATAATATAACATATATTATATAATAATGTATTTAATCCTTTGCGTATTTATTCCATGGCAGGAAAACTATAATTTTATTATGTAATAGATACTATGAGTGTTAGCTAGTGTTAACTTTCACCAAACATTATATTAATCATAACTATATATAATCATTATAACCATATATAATTGACGAATATAATAATTCATGTTGTATAAATTTTTTAAAAAAATACGGCCCGGCCCGGGTATTTTTAAAAATTTAAAATACGACCCGGCCCTGGTACCCGGGCTTAGGGACGGGCCTGCAGGTCTCTGATTCTTATATTTTTAAAAAAATATTCGTCCAATAAAAATCACCATAGAATCATATCTTATCAATCATTCATTCATCTTCCATTACCATCTTATAAATCATCATATATATATATATATACTAGAACTAACTTAAATATCTATAATATATATAAAAGCCGTCACACTCTCAGTGTCAGAGTCACATCACAAAAATCGTGAATTTTGAAAAGTGTCTATGGCCTAATCGGTAAGAGCGTCGATTAAAAATCTGATAGGCTTAGGTTCGAATCTCAACAATAATTTTTTTTCTTAATCCAACTTGATGGTTCCGTCCTTTGAGATGTTAACTAAATTCCCATTGGACCTGAAAATGTTGTGATTTGCAGATCTGGTGGTAAATGCATGGGAAAATAAAAGTGGCAGACGCATATCATTTATAAATGGATTCTTTGGCAGAGGTAAAATCCATTATGATCTGCTGTTTCTGATGTCATCCTGATTAGAGGTTTTCAATGGGCAAGTTTTGGTACACCTGCTTGCTCACTTATTTAAAAATTTTGTTTAACTTGCCTGTCCAATGTATAAAAATTATTATATAGGTTGATTTGGCTTTTTATGTATTATTTTAATGTTTTTTACTTAAATTTATAAATTATATAATAAAAAATTAACATCTAATAATATCTATCTATAATCTATAATAATAATATATATAAAAGCCGTGTCACTATCACAGTGTCACAATTTATAATATATATTTAAACACGATTTTTTAAAAGCATCTTTGGCCTAATCGGCAAGAGGCTCGTTCACAAATTTGAAGGTTATGGGGTTCGAATCCCAGTAAAGATTTTTTTTTATTTAATCTGGCAAAATTAATTAAATAGAAGATAAAATAATTAAGTGTTACATATTCACATACGATTCAAAATTTGTTGCTATTTTAAAATTTAAACTATTAAATAGTATTCTTATATTTTAAAATTTTTCACAACGTAATAGTCAATAGTATTTTTAAGCATCATACCATATCAAACACTTATTCATCAAAGCATCCATTAAAAAATATCTAACATTACCATCTTATACATCATAAACATATATCTATCTATCTATAATAATATACATAAAAGCGGTGTGATAGTCACAGTGTCACAATTTATCATATATATTTAAAAAGTCCTCAAGTTTGAAAAACGTCTGTGGCCTAGTCGGCAAAGTGTCGCTTACGAATCTAATGGCTTTGGGTTCGAATCCCAGCATGCATTTTTTTGTTAATCCAACTTTGTGTACCTTTTTTAAATTAATTTCCTTATTTTTTTTAATTTTTATTATTTATGTAAATAAAAAATTTAATTTTGCTGAGGGTTTTGTATATTGTTATCATGGAAACAGATTTCGGATTTGGACTTATTAAGAATGAGTCTTCTAAAATTGGTTTCAAGAAATTGAAAACCAATTATTTTAGGAAGAGCATCACAGATTATTCCATCATCAAGATACCAAATATTTATATCCAAATCAAATTAGATTTAAGATAATGAATACCAAGGAAATATAAACTAGGACGTTTTCCCCTTACTGAATCCTTTAGTCAGAATCTTTGACATGTGGGCTGAATAAAGGAGTTTTAATGTTGTATGTCTCTAGGAATTTTGAATAAACAGGAAATTTGGGATAAAAACAATTTATGAAATGTTCACAAAATTTGCTATTGAAAACATTTTTAAAGTCTACTTTGATAATAGCCATGTTAGAAGGAGGATTTTGGACTACAAATGGCATGCGAAGCTATGCCTTCTCCCTTAACACCAAATCCTAATTGAATACTTAATAAGTTAAGACACTGGGTTTTGACCCATGGCAATTATTTTTGCAAATAATCTTCTAAATAGCCCATTGCAATGGGGTGGACACCACCACAGTATTTGTGAGATAATCAGGTGCCCTCTTAATTGATTCGAATCTATGATGGCAGATCTTTTTTTAAAAGAGTATTTAGGAAGGTTTTAAAAGCTTTTAAATGATATTTTGAGAAGAATGTAGATTTTAAACGGAGTGAGAAAGCAAAAGCCATTGCGCCTGGATGTGGAAAATTTCTTAAAAGAAATTATAAATATCATAACTCACAAATCATATTTTTTTTAGTCCATATTTTTCATAATATATTTGGTCTTTTCTCTAAAAATTTATAGAAATCTTGTAAGGATGAATACGGATCATCTATTCCTCTCATTTGACTATTATTCTGATTACCCGTCATTCTTGACGGGCTATCAGCTATTATATATATATAATGAAATAAAATAGAAAATATATATAATAATAAATCGTTTATATATCTATTACCATAGAATGTATCCTTAAACCAAAATAACAAAATACAATTTATTTAAAGTTAATACATTACAGTTTTCCTCATTGAATTCATCATGATAACGTAATGGGGGTTTCGAAACTCTTTTTTTAAG